ATGCACTGCTTTAGCTTGGTCCAACAGTATGAAAACGGGCCAAACCCATATCATAAATAACCGGTATGGTATTAAAAGTCTGCAGTACTGGGGCAGCTGAGAATGAAACTATGACAATCATTTTGTAGATGGATGGAGGTTAATTGCAGAACATGCCAAAACAGACTCTATCTCAGGTGTATTCTTCTAGAAGAAAATTAATTTCCATTTTGGGTCCCTTCCTGTTCGGGAAATGTAAAATTTTGGATGGCTTTGGTACCTTGGCTTTGAAATGTTCACAAGATTTTATATAAAAATTGATCATTGAGTAAGATTTCAAGAAGTAACATTCTTCAATTAAAAATCAGTATTTTGGACTTGGCAGCTAGCGTGCGGTTGTGGTTGACGTGAAGGAAGAACGACAGATGGGGACCAACACGTGTGCCCCTTGGGAGAGGGACTGCCTGGGAGGTGTGCAGTCAGGGAGCTTGCCAGGGATGTAGCTCTCAAATCAGAGGATAATGGGCTGAGGTTACAAGGTATGTTTAGGAAGATTTTATGGGTAATGTGGACCAGTTTTCCTTCTGAATAGATACACCAGAGATGGGATGAAAGCTGAGTTCCCACTCAGTAAGAAATGGTCCCACAGCTTCTAGACTGGGAGGGAGGATCACATCCATTCCTTTACATCTGTTTTTGTAAGTACAGGAAGAACTGTTCAGACTGGCTTAAACTCAAGCAACCAGTCCTGCAGACTGTTATCCATGCTTGGATGAAAGCTGGTACCAGAAACAGGGCAAGGATGCACTTCAAACCACCAGGAACCATCTCTCCTGCGAGGCTTAATCCAACTGTAAAAAATAGCCACATTATGGAGAAATGGAGAATTTTTCATCCTTTAACCAATCTATCAGTTACAGAACACACAGACAGTTAAGCCAAGTATTAAAAGAGTGATCCTAGCTTTTTGCATCAGTGAATAGCTCAGCTAAAGCAGCGCACATTTGCTGGTGTTCCCTAGGTTTGTTGCTGGGTGGCTTCCAGACAGACGTTGGATCCAAAGCTGAACTCTCCCTCTGAAAACACGGTTGTTTTTTCATAATAGAGCTCAAGCTACAGCCAGACGAGCAGGCTGAAACCTAATATGAGCTTTTGCTGCCTGCAGTTTAGGATGGGTTGTTTCTAGTTTCACTTCACATCTATTCAATATGTGTAGAACTATTAAAACCCTGGGCGTTGCCTCATCTTCAACATCCATAAGGCCATCTCAAGCATGCTGACGTACCTACTCTTCCTGGTCTCCAGCTTGCTTCTCCGAACTCTCATCTTAGTTTCTTCCCAGTCATGGCTTTGTAATGAACTCCATAGTGCCTTCAGGTGAGAAAACATATTCTAGTTTCCATCACAAACCAGACTTTAGCACCTTATTTCCTAACCTTTTGTACCTTGTCCTTTGATTTTTGGTTTTCTTAACCATTCAGCAAGATGAGGGGTGCATGGTGTTTGTGCCAATGTTTTCTGTGCTCAGGTGAGTGAGGTGGCACTGTTCTGCCTATTGGCAACTTTTCTTGTTGGTAACCTCATAGAAATACAATTAGAAAGCAGAGTATTATCTTCACAGGCTCAAAAATGAGAACAGGTCACCAAGAACAGGAGATAGAAGTCACTTGAACTGCATTTCTTTCTAGCTGTAGAAAGCCCAGGAAGGGTCCAAGTCTGGAAATGCACTAAGTACGGAGAGTAAGACATGATGCAATTTTGATTTGGCTGCTGTTCTGTGGGAGGAACAACCAATGGAATGATGCCTACAACTCATTTGTTGTACAAAAGTGCTTACATCATTAAAAATCACAGAAACCCAAGGTCCTCAGTGCTTAAATTCTTCTGAAAACAGGCCCAGGAACCCCAACCATGCAGACCTTTTAGAAAAGTTTGTTTTGAGAGAACTTCTTCCTGGGATGTCATCACAGAAGTTCATGGGCAGCACAGTTTGGAGCTAGTTATAAAATATACATAGCTTTTCCACTGTGAAATATTTGGTATTTTAAAAATTAAGACAGTGTTATTTACTTCCCCCACTGCCCCCCCATGGCTGGTGTTGCTTATGTGCCGTTGGCAGATGGGATGTGGATCATTTTAATTAGATTTTATTGGACTGTTATACGGCCCGTAATTGTGATCATTACTCATTTTCACTGTGGTTCAGACAGATCCTCTATTTAGACATGATGATATTTTGATGAGACAAGTCCCATGTAACTTGTTATGTTAGGGGCCAGTAGCCAAAGCAGTGGAATTAGGTGTTTTCGCAGCATAAAAATTAGAGTAGATTAATAAAGGACGTAATGGTCAATTTGTGTTTCTAATTGTGCCCAGATTGTGGATGCTATGGGCAGAGTGTCTCCTTGGGCTGCTGAGTTCTGCTGAAAGCTGCAGGAAACAAAGACTTCTTGCAGCAAAAGCCAAGGTAGGGAGATGTGGCATGGAGAGGAGGCGAGCCCCGATTCACCCTAGGGAGAGGGGCAAACCTTGGTGCTGACAAACTTTTGCTGAAGCCAGAGACCTTGTGCTTGTATTCACATCAGCTCCACGTCTGGTCCCATATGCTTTAGGTATGCTCTTTCTCTACTGTGCTTTAGGCATGGCTGTTCTCATGGCAGGTCTGGATCACTGCAAGGAGACTGGGGCTGGAGGCTGAGTCTGAGCGGGGAATGGATCCATAATCCAACAGAGGCTTTTGTGGGAGCTGCGCCCTGCTCTCACACAACCATCTTCTCACCTTCACCCCTTATTTCTTGGTGTTCAGTCTTAGCTATTTTCCCTTGGATTCTCAGACCCAGAACTGGTATTTGGACATAATACTTCTAGGGTGTGGACCCAGCTTTCCCTTTGTGTCCTGGGGAACATTGGTCACGCACCTCTGCCAGGGATCACAGTTCAAGCAAATTGTCAGAAATATTTAGAGGAAAGATTTGGGTTTTAAGTTTTTACTCCTTATTTGTGAATAAAGTTTCACTTGGCTAATTCTTTAAAACATATATTTCTCTCCTAAAACCCAACATCTTCTGACCCCCAGCTGCACTGCATTTGCAGATGTCAATGGTGGAGAACTGAAAATGTTGGGGTTCACTGGTTTTGGGGTACAAATGCTATGAGTTGGTGATGCACAAATGTTATCTAAACTGCAAATGTCTCTATCCCAGTAACAAATCTGTGAATTTATCTTAGTGTAAAAAACATCTGCAGCTAAGGAGATGGGATGCTACAAATAGTCCCAGCTTTCTGTAACCCAGTGGGGGATGCTCCAGTGCTATTACCATACCAGTGGGGGACACACAGAGCACACCTCCGTCTGCTTATTTTCTCCTGGACAGGTACCTCTGCAAGGATTCTGGTAAGGGTTACTGTTGAAAATTATAATTGAACTTAATTTTACAAGTCAGATTTTAGCAAGGATCAACTCAGATCACATTGTGTATGCAAATGAGGCCCGTTATCCTTCTGGCTGCCCAGTTTGTGTACATCAGCCATCTTCGGGTGGCCTACAGATCAGCTTGTCCCATGCAAACCCGAAAGGAGCTGAGCTGCAAAGTAGAAGAGAATACCACCTAACTCTACCCGGTACCTTTTATTGGGCTGAATGCCATTCTCATTCTCTCTCTCTCTCTCTCTGTATATATAATATATATATATAATTTTTTTATTTTTTTTAGCATTTCTATGCAGGGACACAAGCGCTCTCTCTTTCTCTCTCCCTCCCATCCAGACATGTCCACTGATCCACTAGATGCTACTTCTGCTTACAGTTCTTGTAGATTCCTCCTGTGCTCCTGCACTCCATGTTAGAAACTGGGGCCTAATTTAGTGCTGGGTAATGCTTACCTTAACTTTTTGCTTCACAGTGTCCTTTTACTCCCTTATATCTGCAAGTCTCATCTAAATGCAGTATACAGTAAGGCCTCACTTCTCACCTCTGCTGAAAAATAAATATGATAATCTCAAAAGAACCTTTTTGTACTTCTACCTTATCTGTCTTTTACTTCTTTTAAATGATGGAGAAAGCACAGCAGAATATTACAACAAACGGACAGACATTTAACTTATAATTTACTTCACTAGCCATTATGCTTTTGTTATAGTTGATGATAGACTCATTTATATTTTTCACGTGTGAGACAAAATTAAATGTTCCTTGTAAAGAATCACTTACAAACTAAGTCTCTTTTTTCTTGCTTAGTCAAAAATATTCTAATTTATTAAAATGCCCTTATTTTTTGTCTTTTTTATTTTTCTGGGAATCAGGCCAGCTCACCTGAGAAAATTATTTTTCTCTTTGGGTTAGTTCCAATAAACTCCAAATCTATGTTGCTCCATAGAATGAGAGAACCTTTCCTAACAAGAGAATAATAATCACCAAATTCTGGTATGAATTTTCACACAAAGAATGTGTACTAAAATGGATGAAACATCATGCTTCATTTTCTCATGCTGATTTTTCAAGTGAATAATTGCAAGCCATGATTAATGTCACCCCAGAAATCTGGCATGCTTATTTGTGAACATATTAATGAGTCTAGTTTTATTATTATTCAACCAACTCTAATGCCTTGGTATAAGCCTTGTATTTCCCAGCTTCTCTGTCCTTATAGGATTTTTATTTATTTATTTATTTAATTTATTTAGTTAGTTACTTACTTACTTACTTTTTTCTTGCCTTTGGCTTTACAGTCCAAATTTTAAGGACAGTAGGTTTTGGCTTTTTGAGATTTTAAGAGTCCCCTCTGTGCTGATGGTACGATAGAAATTACAGATACTTCTTCCCTTGTGCCATTTAAACTTGCTAAATCCCACTGTGATAGATGCTGTGGACATGTGGGATAGGCAGAACTATTTTACCAAGAGTATTGGACATCTCTCTTTTATCTGGCTCCTGATTGTGTTTTTGACTAAATGTTCAAATAAAAACATGACTTATCAAAATGGAAACCACCGGATGTAATTCACGCAAACTTTCATTGCAGATCAACTCGGAAGCCTTCCTGAGTTCCATGTGTTAGGGGGAGAAAAGTGCATTGGTTTTGCCTGCTACAAGGTAAGCCATGGCCTAGAATTCAAGTGATTTTAGGTTAAAATTCACACATTATCATACTTCAATATGCTGTAAAGCTTGCTGAGCTTCTCCCACGATGAACTCCAGGCCAATTAAGTTAAAATCATTAAGAAGTTTTAAGTTAAAGTGTGACCTTCTAGTTTTGACTAGGTGAGGGTTTTGTTTTGTGAAAGCTGTTTTGTCAGCGGTTAGTCCTGCCAGCTCCCAGTGAGAGGACTGAGACGGAAAGAGCTGAGATTAACTATTGCATTACATTGGACAAAGAATTAGGAAACTTCGTGATCTTGAGTGGATGGTAAAGAGGTGTTTAAAATTTCAAGTTACGAACTGGAAAGGAAATGGGGAAAATCGGTCCTAAGTTTATGTGCTCAGTCATGGGCTTTGAACAAGGTATTAGTACTCTGGAAAGAGACCTGGGAGGCATTTCATAGAACTCTCTCCTATCGACTCCATGTACAAATCTATGGTGTGCCCACAGTTTGAAAAGTTTGTGACATTTCTGTTCTCTTATCTTGAGTGCATAGTGGGAATAGAACAGGCACAGCAAAGGACAACAAAGGTGATTAAATGTATGAAATAATTAGTCACTCTGTATGGAGATGTTAACTTTGGATTCTTCAGCTTGGAAAAGGAATCCCTGCTGTGACAGAGGTGAATAACAGCCTGAGCTACCAGGAGAAAGCATGTAGGGAGCAATTGATCACTGTGTTTCTCACAAGAGAAAATAAAGAATATCATAATCATTTGTCAGGTTGCAGGTTGAATATAAACAAAAAATGATACTTTTTTCATATGACACCTGGGTACACTATGGAGCTGCTTGCTGTGCAGCAATGAGATGTGAGAGTTTGCCTGGGTTCAGATACTGGTGATTACATTTTTCCCATGGATTAGGGTATTAAATATATTGTTATATATCTTGCACTGCTAAGGCTACTTGACTGTCTCCTAAGTTTTGCTTTTCCCAGAATTGCTGCTGTTGGAGGAGGATTACAGGAGCAGCCAGACTTTTAACTTGCCCTGGTTCTCTCATAAGGCTCTAATGATTTCAGGAGGGATATAAAAAGGACCCCAAAGGCCTGACATCTCAATGATTTCCCCATCAGTGTACCAAAATGGGGTCAAAGAAGCAGTTAACTTGGAGGCTAACACCTTCAGGCCTGAAGGCTGCCACTTGGATTAATTTGTTTGCAGCAAAGCCCTGCTGAACTTTCTCAGAAATACTTCCACGCAAGGTGCTGCAAAATCTGGGTTTGTTTCTGCCTTGCCCCTGGACGAGGATGAAATGAAGAGTGTGTCATTAGAATGACAGAAAGAAAGGGAAGGAAGAGGGGAAAATCAGCAAAAAGAGAATTCCTGCTTTACCTGCCGAGAACGAATCTGATAAGGAAATATCTGGCGATGTTCACAATAAGTCAGACATTGTCCCAGACCTTAATTGCTGGCACAGGCAACTGTGGACCTGGTAGGAGGGATGTGGATGGTGTCTGTGCGCTCCATCTGCTGCCTGCAGAGACGGGAACGTTCCAGGCCAGGTGTTGCTGAGCATTGCTCTTGTCTAGCAGCAAGATAAGTTTAATTAAAGGGCTAATTATTCCCACTCTGGAACGGACCTATTTGTTGTACTTGCAACCGCTTTCTAACTCTTTTCCTCTGGTGTTCATGCATTATACATTTATCTTCCATTGTCACATTACGGACTTGTTTTGCTTAAGTGAGGATAAGTCTTTGGTGTGTGTGAAAATTGGAAACAAAGGGAATTGGCTAGTCTTGAATTTAGGTGATACTTCATTGTAATGGCATTTGTCAGCACAAAAAGGCATTTCATGCTGTTTTTCTAACTTTCTTGTGAAATAGGTATTTTGCAGTTGTGGTAACTAAGGTCTCAGATCAGTAGGGAATTGGACCCAGATGTTTGTGTTCTGCTGCAACTGTTAAGAGCATCAGGCAGAACTCCTCTTTCAGTTAAACAAGAAGTAACCCACTGATTTCCAAAGAGTTTCTGGATTTACTTTAGCAGACCATAGGATTATGTCTGAGTTGAAGTTTTATCCTGTTTTATGTTCAATTTGAAAGCTGTGGTGTAACCCATGCTTGCTTTCTCTAGCTTTGTGGACCATGCACAGCACTGAACCTTTGCACTAGTAGTGGCAGATAGTTTCCTCTCTGAGTGTTAGGGACTTGCTCGTCCAAATGCTGTGGTCTTGTGGGTCACCAGACCAGCCTCACTGTTCTATTGGCACTTTGTGACCTTGCTCAAAGACACAATCTTTAGGTGAAACCTAAGTTTAGAGTCAGGACTTTGTCCTCAAGCTCTTGCTGTCCTTTCATAGACCAAAGGTTGATGTTTTAGTTTTACAGCGTCCATTGAAGGGGTCAATGTGGATCACCCTGTAGTTGGACAGTGGAGAGCTATTTGTTGGGAACAAAAGTGCTTCAAGGCACACCTATCTTTAAAAAGAGGCAGCTTAATTCCTTTTTCATTTTTCTGTTTTCTACCATACAGTGAGGACCTTTGAATTTGCGTATATCCTGGTGGACTTGGAAGAGAGAGGGAATTCTCCTCTGCCTAGTTCTGTGCCTATGAGATCTAAGATTAAACACAAATGACTTTTTTTTTTTTTTTTTTTTTTTCTGGGCTAGAACTTTTATTTAATGTCTTTTTTAGGTCTCTTGTTGGTTAAAGCTTTGAGTCAGGTCAAATTGATATGCGAGATTCCCCCCTCCATGTGGCCAAACTTCAAAAGACACATTACTCATACCATTTTAGCATTCAAGGCTTGCATTAATTACCCACTAATGGCTTTTTTTTTCTTTCTTTCTTTTTTTTTTTTTTTTTTCCAGGAAGCACTTTATATCATACTCATGGAGCCAGGAGAACTATCACTAGGATGGATAAGGATATACACATAGCATTTGTAACCTTAATATAATCTCTGAATATTCCATGACTCTGTAATGTCTGTCATGCTGGGCTTGAGCCCTGGTTCTGATGAACTGCCTGGGGCACTGTGTTGCAAATGCATTCTTTCACAGGCTAAAACAAAGCAGAGAAAACCATATAATGAATTCCAGTCATGTAACATTATGGGCTAAGTAGAAGTGCCACTCCTTTACTAGGATAGTTGTAAGAAGACGTTTTTGAAACCACATAGCTTAAGTGATAGCAGCCACCAGCCAAAACCCAAACATGTGTCTGTGTATGAAACAGGCGCATGTGGAATGTAAAAGCTGTGGATTGTTTTGTAAACCATATTTGTAGAAAGACATGAAATGTGAGAGAGCAGTACAAAATACACTGTGAAAATGATTTCATCAAGAAAACCTAGAGAGAGGATTTTGGCTTGGGTGCTGGTCAGAAAGGCCATGGTGTGAACAGTTCTGGAGAGCAATCTTTTCTCACAATTTATGTCATGGAAGGGAGCAAGGGGCTTTTTACGTCCTTTGTAAACAAACAGGATCTGCTTGTTGACTCCATCTTCAGTTCTTTCCCCTTAATGCTAAAAAAAAACCATGCAAGTACCCAAATTTTTGGCTAACTATTGAGGTCAAAAGGGGATAATATAATAATCTTTTGAAATCTATGCAAGCTATATAGGATTTATGATGCTGTGATAGGGAATAATTAAGCTATGAGAACTTCTATGAAAGTTTTTGATATAAATATGTCTAACTTGCATCCCATAAGTATGATTGAAGACCAGGGAGGCATAACCCCCCAAAACCCCAATAAAAACTTTTTGTTCCAAAGGGAGACCTGAAAATGTAAAACAGTGGCAGTGGGACTCCAGCTTTACAATGTTTTTCTAAGGCGATGTTCATTTGTTTTAATCTAATTTTGAAAATAGATCATTTCAGTGGGAGCATATGTTACAGCAGTGTTGTGAAACCAAGGAAAAGGTACATCATGTTCTTGTCAAAATTGTCATGGGAAGGAAAGGGGCAGCCAGCAGCAGAAGAACAATTATTTAGGGACCTCTCAGAGAAGTTGGATGTATTTTAATTTATGGGGTCAAATGGAATTCACCCAAAGGTGCTGAAATTTTCAGCCAATGTGATAGTGAGGCTGCTGTCTATCATTTATGACACATCATTGTGATCTGGGGGAGGTCCCTGATGACTGCAGAAAGGCTGATGTTACTCCATCATCATGATGATACTCTGGTAGAAAGGCGAGGAACAGGACCCAGGCTAGACCAGCCAGTCAGCCTATGTGCAAAGGAATATACCTTCTTGCAACCCTTTTTCCAAAGTGGGTTTGAAAAGAGAAGGTGACAATCAGAAAAATCAGCATGGATTTATGAAGGGCAAATCATGCTTGAGCAGCACGATTGCCTTTGATTAAGAAATAACTGCTTGTATGGGTAGACCACAGGATGAAGTGGCCCAACACATCCATGGAACCAAAGCCTTGGCTGACCTGGCCTAGTGCTGGCAATAGCAGGAGGTAGGATCAGAGACCTCCAAAGGGCTCTTCCAACCATCATTCCTATAATTTTGTGGATTGCAGTAAATCCTATGCTGGACTGAAGCAAATGACGAGTAGTGAAAACATTTGTATGGCTTGATTTTTGGGTGGTCCTGTGTGGAGCCAGGAGGTAAGCTTGATGATCCTTGTGGGTCCTTTCCAACTCAGGATATACTCAGGATATGGTACAGTGCTCAGATGTTCAGTGCCGTGAGGAGCTATTAGCTTTTGGAAAAGACCTTGTATATGCATTTTTATAAGAACAGAGGTTTTCTCCCAACATTCAGAGGAACAATTTACCATCTTAACTGAGTGTGGTCAGAGAGTTCATAATCAGGAAAGAAACCTGTAATGGGTCAGCAATGTCCAACACATAGGGACCCAAATTATTTATATTACCAATGTCTTAAAATAATTAAAACTTCAAACAGGTTTCAGAACTTCCAACAGCATTCATCCACAGCAACGTAGATCTCAAAGATTTTAATTTCCCTGGCCTGTGTTGCTCAGGCAGTTTGGAGGCCTCCTTTTGTCAGGCCGGGAGGCTGGGCCTGCTCTGAGTGCGCTGCATGCGGCCCTGACGTGCGCTGTTCGCAGCGGATGGATGAAGCCATACATCACTTCTCCAGCATTGGCTGGTGTGAGGGTTTGATGCTAGGAGGCCCAGGTCCTACACTGAGGATTTCAGGTTATATTTCAGGAAGCACCGATGCGTGCAGCTGGCTCCAAGTGGACCAGTTCTTCAATACGCCAGGACCACTTTTGCTTTGTTTTAAACTTTTTCAAGAAACTTGTAGAGTAGGAGCAGGTTAAACCAGACTTGTACTATCAAATGGTTGGTTCTTCTGTTATTCTTAGACTGCATCTACAGGTGGGGCAGCTTTTTTGAGCTGGTAACATGTCCCCACGTATGTTCTGCCCAGCAAATGCAGGTGGAAAGCCTGTTAAAAGCAGCCCCTGGCACTGAGTAAACACTGCCCTGATCAGTGTGTCGGAACCTGCATGTAGAAATCCTTTGTGTTCATTATTCTTGAACGCAGTATGGCATGAGGATCTGTGATCCTTATGGGCGTTGAATTCTGAACTCCCCAGGAGAGAGTATTTCCTATAGAAACCTGAGTCCAGGAGCTGAACATGCCTAGCTGGGGAAAGCACACATAGAAAAAGTCTCTCATTTCTGGCTGAAGCTCATACAGGCAAATAGCTTGTTTACTCAAACCGAATATTTGACCTTTATACTTTTTGGAAATAGTGTTTTCTTCCTCTTAATTACGTGGAAGGAGCATTTCCTTTCCATGCTCTGATAGACTTCTCTATAAATAGCTACTCACGTCCCAGAACCTCTTTCTGAAGCCTTCAGCAAAGTCAGCATCCTGAGGACTTTTTAAGCCTGAGATAGGAACCACGTGGAGTTTAATCATTAATCACCAGCCTTTAATTAACAGCTCTGGGCTTTGAAAAAAAAGGCGCTTACTGCAAGGCTGCCGAGGGGCCCTGAGCTTTTCAGCGTGCTTCCATTTGAGGGACCTGATAGCCTTCCAAAGGGGGGCTGGTGGAGCAACCTTCTCTATGTGGGAAGGGTCATGGTTCCTGGGAAGAGCAGATGTTTGTGGCCTGATCTCCATTTTCACAACTGTCCCATTGGCTGGCTGCAGGTCTGAGCTGGCTCAATGCAGGGATGCTGCCAGCTTCCCAAGACCTTCTGGAAAGGGCTCAAGCATCTCCTGAGCCTTGTTGCCTCCATCAGGTGGAGTGGGTTTTAACCAGAGAAAGGAGGAAAGTTGCTCCAGGCTTGGAAAATTTTATTAGGAGAGTGTTCAAAATTGAGCACTCGGGAGAGAAAGAAAACATTGCTATAAAAGTTGACTCGGCCAATATTTTTCTGCATTCCTGCTGCTGTGATTGAAGATATTTGTTTTTAATATAGGTTTCTCCCGTTTGTAGTCTGGTTTTCCCGTAGTAAAAACTAAAGGGCAGATCCTCAGCTGATATAAATTGGCTCCACTGAAGTTAATGGAGCCATGCTGGTTTGTACCAGCTGAGGGATCTGGCTTGTGCTGCAGTGCTTGATACCCCCATTATACTGCCATGATTACGATACTAATTCAGTAAAATGGCTTCACAGTGTAATAAAACCAACCCAGAGCATGGAAGATGAAAGGGCTCCCTCTCCAAGTGACCTGGTATTTTTCATCAGAATGTTTTCCTTTATTTTCTCTTTTGTTAGGAAATGCTCTAAACCAAAATTTTTTTTTTTTTTTTTTTTTTTTTTTTTTACAGCAAATGTACCTACTCTGCTAAAACTTTCCCTGGGAAAAGCTTCTCGGCTTCAGCATGAAGGCTGCCGCTGTGTGCAGAAAACAGACACAGTGTATGCAGTGGTGATGGGTCAGGACATGTCAAGGCTTGTGCAAGAAAATGAATGGGATTTTCAAAGGGCAGGGGTGATCTTCTGGAGCAGTTAAAGCCCTGAGCTAACCTTGACTTCTGAAAAATAGGAGTTATCATGCTACAGGGTAAGGCATTGATCATTTTACTTATTCTCTGCCTTGTCTAGTTTTTCTTGATCTGTCTGCATTGGGAGAAGCAGCCCATGGAGCTGTATAAAGCTGTATCCTTCTCCATCCCAGGAGTAAATGACATGTCAGTGGCTTTCCTCATTGTCCTCAGCTCTTCAGCAATAGCAGAAGGTGCTGGGCTGAGGACTGGGGAGCACAATAACCTGTGCTGCCTTTTTGATTGGAGCTGTTGAGCACCAAAGGGAAAAAAAAGACACAAAGACCTAAATAAAGGCGGATACAAGTGTAGCTAGATCCCTAGGATGAAATGTTTTGTTTGCCATAGCACAGCTGAACTGCACACGGGTTTTTCTGTGCCAGGAAGGATTTTTACAGGGACATGGCTAAATGGAGGCAGTAAATTTAACTTTAAAGGACCATGAATTGAAGCTTTTGGATAAAAGTTGAAGTACTGTTACTCTTTACTGGGCCCTTTTAACTTTGCTTGGAACAGGACAGTATATTTTACCTTGAAGGCCCCTGGAAGTTGAAGGCTCTGCCTGCAGGGCAGGCTCCTGGCAGCTGGGCCCAGTGGAGCAGCAGTCTGTGTCATGGGAGCCGGCCCAGATCTTCTGGGCAAAGGGGAAACACAAAGAGATCCCACCTGGATCTCCCTCAAGGAGAGTCGTGGGTTAAACTGCTGCTGGGTGGGGTCTGTGCCATTGCAGAATTAAACACTGGTACAGTTCTGACTGCCAGCATAGCTAAAGGGTTGAAAGGCAGAAAAAACAATGTGCAAAGTCCTGAATTAGCGTGTTTGGTTGAATCCTGCTTCCAGACCTGAGCTGGTCCCCTAGCATCATCATATTAATGCTGATTCAAAGAAGAGTTTTCCTATACTTTGGAACAACCTGAATTGTTGGTTTTGATGTTTCCACTAGTAAGATCTAATTTAAATCTGTTTATTCCCTCTGTTTCTTTTAGGGAAAAACATGTGTTTTGCACTAAAGTCGCTTCAGAAGAAGCAAAACTTTTCTTGCTTATATCTAGTAGCATTTCACTGCAAATGCTTTAAAAACACGTCCTGTGTTTGAACTGTGCCTGAGACTGGGATATTCAGTGGGAGCATGGCAGACTGCAAGTCCCTGTTAAAGGTAGAATTTGGCTGCCTTTAGCATCCATGTTCTTCTCCTCCGGGTTTTAAGGAAATATCAGAAAATCTCATATTTGGTACAGGATGGCAGTGGAAGCTGTCCTGGACTGAGAGGTCCATTTCTCACATCACATGCGTTGTCTGGTTGAGGTCGGAGAGCCTCGGCAATGGGCGGCTCTGCTCACCCAGAGAGAAGATGGACCCAAGCTGGCCAGCTGAGGGGCCAGTAGAATGCCCGCAGACCTTACTTGTGGGCTAGGTGTGCTCTTTTCTTGCATTAATTGGAGAAAAGGATGATTGATCTGGAAACCTCTGCAGAACCCAGGTGTCACTGCTTCCTTAGCCAAGAGTCTGTGGCCAAGCGATGACTGTGCAGAGCTCAGATCCTCTGTGCTCCTGGGCGTTCGTGCCCTGTTCTGAGAGGAGGAGGCAGAGCCTCCCAGTGCAGCTGGAGCAGTGGGTGCAGGAAGTCGTCGCTAGACCTAATCAGGCAAGGAAAAGCTTTGGAGCATATGGACCCCAATGTGTGGTCCAAGTACAACAGCTTGGTGAGTGTCCTGCAGGGAGACTTTTACTAGCGCTGCAACAACAATTCATCACTGCCTGAAGGTTTGATGGGTCTGGTACTCCTCGTCTTAATTGACCTCGGCTGGAGACCTGCGTTTCAGTCCAGCTTAGTCACAAAGGACTTGGGCTGTACTTGGGCCTTAAAGAGGAAATTTATCAGGGAATCACATGATTAATGGAACCGAGTGATGTCCGCTTGAGAGTGGCCAGGAACTGAATTAACAGAGCAGGGATTTTGGCAGGTGTGAAGTGCTGGCAAAGCCGAGACTGATGTCTGGGGAGACAGAGCACCCCGAGCCTCAGTGGGGTGCAGCCACTGGCCTGGGGGCAGCTGGCAGAACAGGGGATGCCAGAATCTGGGCTTGTATTTGGATAAAAGCAGGGAGTGCAGATTATTAACCCATCACACAGCAGTGCCAATGCTGGGACTGCTCCGTGTCCTCTCAGAAAGGGTAAACGGAAAGAGGAAGCTGATATCCCCAACAAAATGGTGATAGAGGGGGAAGAATAAATGAATAAATATCCAGAAATCATCCAAGGCTTTCTTGCCTGCTTTTTTTCCCCACTCTTATTTCTTTTTCCCTCCATGTCAACACCAAACAAGACAGGACTAAAATTAATGGGGAAAGCAGCAATTAGCAAATTAGGTTAGCGGCGTGTTGCAGTGTGCCATGGCTGCCAGGTGTGAGGGGCTCTGGCAGTATATTTATTAATGGCTGTCAGAAAAGTGACACTTTGATGAATGAAGCTGGGTAATCGGCACCCTCCGACAGTGAGCACTGAGAGGCCTCAACATGCTAAACTGCAAAATCAAACCTTTTTGAACCCCCATACAAAAATACAACAACAGAAATCGCTGCGAGAGGAGTGTTTTTCCATCAGGAATTGGAGTTTGTGTTCTCCTCTAAATATGTCTTTTCTGTAACTCACTGGGAAGGAGTTGTCAGCGTGGAAGGTTTTCCCTTTCCTTGGAATATGGGACTCAAGAATTTATAAATGCTGGCAGCTTAAAAACGTCTATCTAAATGTGTATGGTTTGGGTGTATCAGTTAGCACTGTCAAAGGCTACGCTCATGCTTGCGGGAGCTTTGCCATTTAAATGTGATGGCATCAAGAATCCATAAGCTGAGCTTGTGAGCTAGCCCCATGCGTTAGGTGTTAGTGTCTCTTGCCTGGTGGTCAGCAATGGCACTGCTTGGTAATGCCACCGGTGTGCAACATCTAGGAGCCCCAGCTGCCTGCAGAGAGAACGTGCAAAGATCTGTAAGGGGAAACACATCTCACACAGTTGCAACAGCAGCATCATGGCATGCTGATGTTGCCACTCTTGATAACTTCAGGTGTGAGTGAGTACCCTGTGATGATGTGTGTGCTGTGGGAAATCAGCCACGAGGTGGCCATTTGGGAGCGTGGCTATAGGGCACGTTGCAGGTTTGGCTCCTCAGGGCAAGGTTGTTCTGTAAATGGGGATTCCAAACTCTTGGCTGACATGAAGTGAGTTTAGGGGAAAGTTTCTTTAGAAAAAAAATGTTTTGGTAGTAAAGCTCTTGGACAGATCAGTCTAGCTGCTGGGGTAGCATCTGGATAAAAGATTGCTCTGCAAAATGCTGCAGTACATGGAATTTTTTTTCCAAGTTTCAGACTTTGCATTGCATGCTGGAGGTAACTTTTGTGCAATGTTTCAATAGCTCAGCACAGAGCTGCCCAAATCCCCCAATTCCATGGAGAAATTGAATCCGTTTTTACAAAATCCTGGTTCTGGGTTTGGCCAGCTAAAAGGACTGTGTAAGTTTTGATTAAAAACATGAGAATAAATGTAAATCATATCCCAGGCATTCATCTGGTCTTCTAGTTGGAAATGAAGTCGAGTGATCTTTCTGGAGTTACTCACTGGGATCTGCGGGCTTGTAAAATTTGGATTGGCACTTGAAGCAAATTTGAAATTGTTCTCTTATGCTTTAATAATTGTATTTAGTTTCCTAATTTGGCTGGTGAGTTTATCAGAAGATAATTGAACTTTTAAAAGTATACTCTGTCCAGACTGTAGGAAATATTTTAAAATAAACTTTCTTTCTGAAACTTTGCTCTGTTTTCATGCTTTCTCATGAAAGCCGTCTGTCTGCCCAGATCCAGCCTGCAGAGGCGCACGTTCTTAAACCAAACAGCTCCTGAACGAAACCAGGTCACTCCCTGTACACGGTGGAAGTCAACGTGTCCCTGCCAAGAACAACCAGCAGTGTGTGGGTGCAGCTGGCTGTGTGGGTCGGCTCCTGCTGCCAGCCTGGGTGCTGCCTGCACCCTCTGTGTGGGCGCAAAAAGTCACTTCTGAACTAATGCAGGGAGCAGAAGGAATGGATCTCAGGTCCCTTTTGTTCCTTAATGCAACTTCAGCTGTTACTAAAGGTGAGGGTCTTGTTTTTTTTGTACACCAGTCTGGCAGCAGGAGATCAGTGGCTTACTTTGCACCGATTATCCCAGCCGGCAGCCTGCAAGGCACGAGCTGTGGGCTTGGAGCCCCTCGCTGGCTGCTGTTTTTGGGCAGGCAGTGCCCGTGCTCCAGCAATGTCTGGCCAAGCTGTCCTGAGCAACTTGGGTTGGGCTCGCATGCCATGGTTTCGGGTGCCGGTGAGCTTTCCTGCTGTTTGCAGTCAGCTTCCAGGAAGCGAGCATGGTTGCAGTTGTGTGAGATTTAACCCGACTCCTAAAGTTCTTGTAAGTAGTTCCTGAGCTCTGGTGTAAGTGCTGTTCTCTGGTTTCACCGGTAGTGAGGAAAAGTTTATGGGTCTGTTGCAGACCTGTAAACTCAGGTTTCCCAGGTCCCACATTAGCATGCTAACTATGGGGCTGTTTTTCCCACTCACCCTAGCTGTTTTCCTTCCTGGTTTAAAGAGGATTTGCTGCTCCTCACGTTCTCCATTTTATGATTTTGCAAAGACTTCTGTTGCTGTGAAAGCCAAAGATTTTTTTCCACTTATTTCAGTGCTTATGGTTTACATTTACTTCCCATCGACTTGCACAGGTGTCAGCAAGGGGAAGACCTCTGACTTTCCTCTTGGTCCGTAGCACGATTGGGAAGCCCCCAGCTCCAGCAATCAATCATGCTGCATTGATAGCAGCTCAAGGAGTAAGCAAAGATAAATGACTTGTCCAGACTGAGCTTGTCTTGGCTTTAAAAGGGGAAACACTGCTCAGAGCTCCCTCTGTGTGTGCCAGGAGGGTGCCTTTACCCACTGCTCGCTGTGGCTCTGCTGCAGAAAAGGTCTGTTAGCATCAGCACTGCTGCTGCTCTTCACTGGGCTCCGGCCATCCCTGCTCACGTGAAGATGAGCATTTGTCCATGGCTGTGCCTGGTATCCACCTGCACAAGCTGTTTTCTGTTTTCTTGTTGCTGTCAGCTCAGTAGTGCTGTCATTTTCCAGACACATGGTGTGTAATTAATGAGAATGTCATTTCCGAGTTGTTTTCAAAGACTAGATTGAGCATCTGAGAAATTATTTCACTCAATGCCTTATTTATTTATTTATTTATTTATTTATTTTTTTAATTAAGAAAACTATTGTCTTAGTTGCTTGGTTTGGGGACACTTCAGGAGGGAAATAGCTGTACTTATGTTTCAAGGACACGGCCTCATCATACAGCCACAGAGCAGGGGTTCACATGCTGCTGACCAGGGGCAGTGGTGTGCTTGGGGCAGGATGAGGCAAGCTGGCTTGCCCCAAATCATGGCAGCCACAGCAGTGCCAGCCTCCTCGCTGTGTGCTGTGAGTGTGGTCTCCTTGTGATGGTCCCCAGGGGCAGTGGTTGCATGTGCTGTGGGTCAGATCCTGCCCCGTGGAGGCTGCAGGGCTGGGGGAATGCAGTGTGAGTCCTGCCCGGCCCTCCTCGCTGCCCCTCGGGGCTGGCTGGGCTGGGCAGAGGTGTTGGCCTGGATAGACGTATTTTATTAGGCCTGTTGTTTCCTTCACAGGGGCAATAAGTCTGCTTTATGGGAGACCCCAAGCGACTTTGTACAGAGCACAGCGATTGGTTTTAGCCACCTTTGCTCCCCAGGGCGATGCTGTCCCAAAGGCTGGATGAGACTGCCCAGGTGCAGGATCCAGTGATCCACGGGGCTGTGGCAAGGGCATCTTCCTCAGGCTCTTCCTAAGAGCTGGGCTTGGGGCTCATTTAGGGATATTCTCTGCTGTTCTCCTGAGCAAGCACCCCCAAGTGTCTCCACTGTGCCTTATATTGCTCTATAATTTTATTTTGCTATTTGTGAAAAGGAGGGATGAAGGGAAGGACTCTCATGCAGCAAATGCTTCTCTTTGACTCCTTTCTGCCTCAGCTGGCTAAAGAAAGGTTCCCTGCACTGATCGTGCCCCCAGGCACTGCAGCAATGCTTTGCAACAAGGCCCGCTGCAGAGCTCAGGTCTTAAGGGCTGGCCAAGGCTTTGCTACGTGTTGGTGTCATGATCCATGCTTCTGGACTGACACCTTTGTCAGGGGACATGGCACACACTGACTCTGTGTACTGTGTGGGTTCATGGTTTTATTATTTTTTTTTTAATCTTTTATTATTATTTTTTTTGAGAGGGTGAATATTGGAAAGCAAGGAAGTGGTTGCTTCACTAAATATTCTGAACATTGCAATTATTTTATTCCCCATGATCTGCAGGTGCCTCTCGGGTGGGTGAGATTCATGCAAAGCTGAGCGCGTGTGTGTGTCCACGTCTCCTGTGATATACGGAGCTTTGGTGCTGCAGCTGCCATTAGTGTTAATGGGCTAAAACCCTTCACATCAAGCTGAGAATATACTCCTGCTAATTGTGTACCAGCTCTCCCCTGGGACTTTCATGAGAATGATGCATCCGAGGAGAGGCGCTTCCAGTGATACAGTGCTTTGGGATAAATAAATAGGGGGCTAAAGTTAGATGCTGGTTCAGCGCCAGCATTATAACACTGGGAAATCAGGTAACAGCGATGCCAGCCCCTTTATCCTCTTGGTCCTGGCCTGGTCCACTGCTGCACGGTACCATCTTCAGAGCCATACATCACCCCTCAGCCTCACCTTGTTGATGTATGATGCCCATAGATCCTTATAGCGGGAGTGCACTCTGATGTATTGCGCCAATACATCATGGACAGGGTTCGCCCAGGTGATGTATTAGTGCCCTGAGAATGTATTACTCAAACGCTGGTATTGTTCAGGGATAAAGCCAAGCCGAGGAGTGGATTCAATTTAATTACAGTGCAAATGATATCCCAGTGCCAGGAGCGCTTTGGTGCTGAGATGCTGGCACCCTGTGGAAATATGAGCTGTGGCTCTGGTGCTGCTGAGTCACACCACAGTGTGCCATGAGAGGAGGTGCCACGTTTTAAAGGAATGGTCATTTTTCAGAGCAATATAGGAGGACGGTTTTGAGAACTTGTTATTGGTAGGATGATTTCATAAGAAATTTGGAGAGCTGATTCTGTAGTTTCCTTGAGATGTCTTATGAGGATACCTCTAAAGAAAAGAGAGAGAGGGAGGGAGGGAGAAAACACTCAGACCATTAAATGCAACCTTGATTATCATCAGTGGGAAACTGCCAGGTGATAGAATCAAAAGAAGAGCAGCTTTTTAAAGAATCCAGAAGTGAGAAAGTAGTTTATGTGAAAATGCACTTTGGATGCTTGTCTCTGGTTTCCTATCCCTTCCTCTTTGTTGCTCTTTTTTTACATCTTTGTCTGTTGCACAATATTGAAACAAGAATGTTCATCAGATTTACTTTAAAATCAGCTTTACTCCCAAATAAGCTCCTATTAGATTGTCCCCTTGTCCTGGATTTTTTTTTTTTTTGATAAGGGAAAGACTTATGTGGGTGTTATCTGGATGTCACAGGACAGTGTGCCCCAACCATTCTTGTTTTGTAATATTCTGGGTAACAACAGCAGCTCCTCTGGGAACACATGGAACTTGGAAATGAAGGTGACATTTCAGAAATGATCGGTTTTGTGCTCCACATCTATTATGTTCCTGTGAAGGCTCAGAGTGTGTCAATTCGACTTCAACAAGAAATGAAAATGTCTCCTCTTTGGCTACAAAAGGTACAATCTTGCTTCCTCTGAAGTCAAGAAGACTTCTCTGTAGTCAGGATTTGACCCAGTCTCTTCTGGGAGAGTTTCTGATCACTGTCTGTCTAGATAATCAAATATGTAGGGATATTTTATGGTTCTTTTAGAAAAATGTTTATGTAGACCCAGGAGTAGCAAGGTGGCAGTAATACTTCGCTCATGTTCAGTGTTTTTAGATCTATAAATCCAGGCATTTTCCAAGCAAGGTAAATATAGATTTGCAGATGAGAAACTTGCAGTACAAACAGATAGTGACTTGTGCAAGGTCACACAGCAAGCTGGTGGCAGGGCTTGGAAGAGAAGCCAGTTGGTCTGACACACTCCTCCCCTGGCATCCCTGTCATTATTTCACTTCTATTATTATCTTATTCGCTCCATTGTTTCAAATCAGACCTGCTCCTACCTTCCTGTTGTTCATGGCTCTGATGTTGTAATTTTTGGTGCTCTTTAATGGAGAGAAAACGTCTTTTTTCTTTTTTCCTTACTTTCTTTGCCATTAGTTTCACTGTCGATAGCTCAGAAATGCTGATTTTTTCATTATTTTTTGGTGCAGATTGCAGAAGCCTCAGTCTGATGCACAGGTACAGTGGATGCTCACAAGAAAATGACTTCTTTGCCTGGCATTACAAAGGTCCCTCTCCTGCTCCTTGACTGTCCTTCCCTGTCACAGCTGTACTATCCAGTAAAACAACACGGCTACACTTCTGTTCGTTTGCTGCTTAAAATGTGAAAGAGAAGTGGTGTAGCCCAGGACAGCAGGAATTTTTACTGCCTTTCACAGATTCAGCACTTGCTGTCTTTGGAGAAGAGCTTGCAGTGCTCCTGAGTACGTTCCTTCAGGGCTAGTCCTCTCCATGCTCCAGGAAATCCATTGGTGTCCCCATCCATGAACGACCCTAGAAGCTGTTCGTCCCTTCAGAGTTGTGTTGCCTCCTTCTGTGCCTGGTTTGTTGCCACACTACTCCTCCATGGAGCCTAGGGTACGTAGTCATCCCTATCATCCTGTGATAACTGTTGTAAAAGTTTCTATAAATAGAATTTCCTCCTGTCCAAGTCTTTTTGCTAACTCAGCTGTTTTATTTTTAACAGAAAGTCATGTTGATGCTAAGCAGAAATATATTTTTTTTCAAATCTCTCTATTAAACATAAAAAGATGCTGTGTCTGAGTAAAAAAGAAAGGTGCCCCTTAGATATTTTTAACACTTCCGAAAATAGTCTCAAGTCTGTGACAAAGATTATTGGGTGGGAATAGTTGTGGACAGCAATTCTGCAGTGGGAAGGATCGTGCCCCCTCATGCTGCTGGCTGGGACCTGCAAGGAGGGGAGAGCAGCTGGACAGAGACCTCTAAAAGGAATTAACTGAGGGCTGCTCTTTAGAAGGCAAAGCAGCAGCACTGCCCAAATAGTTCTGCTGGTGATCTCATGTCTCTCTTGGGCTTGTGACTGCCCTCGAGGCTGGGATCCCATTTCTGGAACTGAGTCTTTGCTGGAGATCTGCAGCCCCACTGTGAGAGCCACTGCTGTGCAGCAAAGGGGTGACAGGAAAAGGCAGTGAGTTCTCTGCCTGGTATTTTGGAGCATAAAGGGAGCAGGAGGGGGATTGCTAATTTTGCCTTGTAAGCACAATTGATATTTGACTTGAAAAAAAGATTAAGACTGGGTTATTGTTTCTGCCCCTGCACCCTCCGGGTCAGAGCACAGCCATATAAGCAGTTGGTGCAGCCTCCAGCGCAACTGGGGAGGCAGAAAATTTGGAGAGAGAAGCAGATGGCAGTGGGGCTCTCCAAGGAGATATGTTTTACAAGGTTCCCAACACTTTTTCCTTCTCCCCTGTAGCGGGGGCTTTTGTTTCCTTGCTCGTGGCAAATGCCAAATCAACTTCTTGTGTGTTCACACCCAGCAAGAGGAGAGAGGTCTCTAGAGAACTCGTGAAAATTAGAAAAGATAAACTGATTATTATTGAAATTGCAGATATTAAATTGGTGACTGCTGAACAGCTTATAAGGAGAAGAAAAGAGATCATTAGAAAACAGAGGGAGATCTTCTATTGTTTGCAGTTAGGAGAAAAAAAAAAATAGAATCAGAGGCAGTAAATATTAGCCTGTTTCAATCCCAAAGTGACTGGTTAGCTATGCTAAAACAGTCTGCATTTGTGTGCAGGCTCAGTGCTTACTGTAGGTGAATTGCTGACCATGCGACCATAGGGTTTTTAGAGGGGCACAGTTCTGATCTCCAGTATGGCAAGGCACAAGAGGTGTTTTTTTTTCCTTGGACTTCATTGGTTCTAGAAGCAGAAACAGGACTAGGCAATGGATTACAGTTCTTCTCCTGTAAATATCATGCATGTCCTCAAGAAAACTGATTTATGGCTTTCAGCCATGATTCCTCACCTGTAAAATTGGAAAAAATACTTCCTTAGTGCCCCATTTATTTATATGGTTATCTCTTCCTATCTGGTACTGTGCTTAGTGCAGCGACAGCTCATTCCTTCCTCGGCACTCTGTACAACAGCTTATATTGCAGCAATCCTTATAACTATCAGTAAAATAAAATTGCCAGGAACAGACATAACCCGTGTGAAAGGCTGGTGGTTGAATCTGAATGTAAAGCTCGCCTGGGCTGTCCTCTGCCCGTAGCTGTCAGCCTGCACCGGCGCCTGTCGGGGCGAGTGATGGATTAACACCCGGGTAATGATCCGGTCCCTCTCCAGCAGCGCTCCCCCAGTACCTCCAGGTATGCAGAGAAGGGGGACATGTGGCATCGTCTCACCCGATAACACGGGGCTTGGCAACTGGCGAACGCGATGTTTGTTAACCCATTTCAATGTGCTTAAATAGGTGAACCCTATGAAATGCAGGCCGGAGAGATGAGGGTCTGGTTTAATTTGTTTTAGTTTTTAATCTTAGGTTGCGCTTTGGCAGCAGCATGTGAAACTTCCAAGCTGAAAGGCTTTGCACTCTGTTTTATTCCAGACAATGTTAGTGAGGGATCGGCTGGGTTCACTGGACTCCACAAGGTACCTTTGTTTATGGATGAAGCCATGCAGATGGGGATCAAAGGTTGTGCATAGCTGCTGTAGAGCACACCGGGGCTGAGAGAGGTCAGGCACTGGAGATTAATTTCTTGGCTGGTTAGAGCCAAGGTTTAATAGCAGGCTTGGAGAGGACAGTGATTGAGTTCACTGCTAGCAGAACCTATAGCTCAGGTCAAGTGAAAGGAAGGAGCTAAGGGGCTCAGCGCTGCCGGAGGAAGCCTAATGGCTTAACAATATGGGGCCTCCACAAGACGTATGAGAGCCGGTGCCGGTGGCGAGCCCCACGCCGCGGTGCTGGGGCTGGGGGCAGCGGGGGCACAGCCCTGGCTGCTGCATGGTGGGGCGAGGTGGGCACGCAGAGGAAGCCTTGATAATTCTGGAAGCAGACAAGAAAGGATGGAAAACATCAGTGTTTTCTAAATAGGGAATATGGTGTGTTCGAGCTGTAACGGAGGGGATGTACTTATTGTTTTTGAGTTGCACGCTTCAGCAAACCCATATAGATATCAGATTTCCCAGGATCAGGGCTGGGTGACCTATTTTGGCTAAATCAAGAACTGATTTTGAAGCTGAAATTATATTCTATTCTGACTTTTCAAGCTACTGTGCCATTACACTTCAATTTCTAGGTTTTCAGATTTTTTTTTCAGTTGTGCCCTTTATTTATGTAATCTATATAATTGCATCTGAATACTGTGTGATTTTTCCTCTCTCTGCCTTCACGAATGCTTTTGGTTTTATATATATATATATATATAAATATAAACAAAATTTATTTATTTATCCATTCATGCTATGTGTTACAAAAATTATGCCAGGAGAATTTGCTTTGAGCTCTCATATTTTATTCTGAATAAGGCTGAATATTGCCGTAAATAAGTCATGTAATGTAAAGGATTTGTCAAATTATTTTAGGTTGATCATCCTGGTGGAAGGAGCCTGGCTGTGTGTGGAAGAGACTTGGTGTCAGTGGTACCCCCAGTGCTAAGGACCCCAGATCAAAATCTGCATGCAGTAAATTTGCCTTTCATTGGTGATTTGTTCTGGAGTTCCCAGGGGACAAGAAAAGCAGGAGAGTGCAGCAGGCAGGACATGACCACAGTGCTCGTAGCACTACCAGGGTATGTCTTGGCTATGCAGAAAGCAGCAGCGTGCCCCATCTTTGTAAATGCCTCATTCTGTGGCTTGAAGTAAAGTGTTTATTGGATTTCCTATCAAAATGCTTTCCTAACTAGTCCTGCCTTAAATCTCTTCCTTGGAAGTCTCCTGGCTCACGTGAAGTTTTGCTCACCTTGGTGTGCTTTTCTCCAAGGAAGGCAACAGAACCAGCACCAAATGTGAACGGAGTGGCATGGATTTGTGGTTAGGCACAGATGGGATTCCTCTCCCAGAGTGATCTTATGTTGTCTCCATTCATTAAACTCACTAGAAAAGCTGTTGACACGACTCTGCAGTGTCTCCTGTTAGAGTTATCGCACTCTTTTAGAAGTAAGCACTTGTTGGGTCACAGAGAATTACCTGATAACGTAGTGATTAGGATCCTGGCTAGAGGTTTGGACCTCTACTTCAGAGCAATTGAAGAGGGGTCTTCCACATCTCATGTGGTTGTTGGGATGAATTCATGGTGACTTGCAGATCTCTGAAGACATTCTGCTGAAATGTTTCTGGTTTTGCCATCATGTAAATTGAGTAAAACATATAAATATTTTTATTTTCTTTTGTTTGAAGGCTGTTTTTCTTGTTCAGTTCAAATTACCAAGGTACAAGAAGCAGCTTAGATGCTCGTTTGGAAGCCATTTGTGAAATGTTTTTAGGTTTTGCCTTCTACAGAAAGAAATTTTGGAGGGGATTTTTAATCTTATGAATTAAAGCTTGAATCAGTGTGTAAATTGGTCTGCAGCAGCAGAAGGGGCAGAGTATCCCAGGTTTTATGCTGCAGGCTTTCTTCTTTTTGAGAGCACCCTGCGGTAGCTGCTATCACAGGCAGGACAGCAACATAGACAGGGCCAGGTCCACTCAGTGCAGGCTCTGATTTTGGTGGTTTTCAGTGGCATGTCATCTTTAATATAAGTATTTTTTTTTTCTTTTCTCTTTTTCTAGAACCTTTATGTTCCAGCTGACTTTCTCTAACAGAGCAACCGATGTGCTTTTTCACCAGAACTAACTGAAGCACGAACTCATTGGGACTGAAGGAAAACTGTCTCAGAGACAAAAGGTATGCTGCTTCTCTGGTTTGCTGGCTATATGCCTGGTCTGAAATCTGTGAAGTGTAAGTCTGCCTTGGGTTTTTCACTTTTTGCTCACCCTCTGTAGGCATTACCAAGTTGTTTGTGCTTTCTGCTCTGATTTTTTTTTTTTTTCCTTTGGGGAAAAAATAACACAATGGTTCTGCATACTCCAGATGTTGACAGTTCCTGACCTGAGTCCCATGAAAAGAACACCCAGCCCATGCCCCTTAAACAGTGTTTGAGAACTGTGTGCCCCTGTAGGGTAATACAGTTATGGTGCCATTTTAGAAAAACGTATTGTGTCAGAAAGAGAATTCAGTACAGCTGTAAGTTTACCAATAAAATTGCAGAGAATGGTGCTCCGCTGGAAAGTCAGAGCCCTACTTGTGCATGAGCCTGATGCTATTGAAACACTAGGATAAGCAACTTTCCATTTTTACTGTTAAACTGCCACTTCTCAAACCGAAATCAGCCCAGTTTTATCATTTTTTTAAACCCCATCTCAGTCAAACTTCTATTTAATCTGACGTGTAGCACTGGCTGCCTCTACCAAGCAGGGTAGCATTGTACAGGATGGAATCAACACTTTAAAAACTTGCTTTCTTTGCCCCGTGGATGGCTGTGTACATTCTCCCCCAGCCTGCACCACCCAGTTCCATAAGCAGGACCCCAAGTTTGGGATTTAGCCCCTCCGTTGAAGTTTCTGGCCACGTGAGCTGATGCATTAGGATGCTTTCCTGCAAATTCTCCTCTAATTGCTCCAAGCACCGTGGCGCAGAAATCCAGTTGGTAAACTCTGCAGCTCGTGGACAACTTTTCTTGCCAACCATGCATTACGAAGGGCTAATTGTAAAAGTGGTGCACCTGCTGGCTCCCTTGGTGGCTGGAGCCAACAGGAAAAAAATAGTAATTTATTAATGATCGAGTCACAAATAGTAATGAAAACAATAGGAGCATCTGAAGGAAGCGCTGCCGGGGGCAGAGGTGCAGGTGCTCTGTGCCCTGAGCAGGCTTGTCGGCATTTTTATAAAGCTACTTTACAGCCCTTATCAATTTCCTACTGCTTTCTGTGTACCCCCTGCCCCTTTGCAAATGTTTTGCCTGCACAACAGGCTCAGCATTTCTTGTTGTAAGTGATAAAATAGCTGTCACCCTGTGGAGGGAGAAAAGAGGCAAAAAGAAAAAAAAAAAAAAAAGGGGGAAAAAAAAGTTAGGTCCAGAAAAACAGCGCAGAGGAACGCATTTCACAGCAAACAAATGAGTGCTAATGAAGCCGCTGAGTCGGCACAGGGAGAGCGATAAAGGGATTGGAGCTGAGGAATGCGAAAAGATTGGGGGTAACAAATGCTGGAGGGCAGGAGAGGTTCCTGCCTTAAACTGAGGCACTGCTTTGTGCCAGCACTTGGATTTCGAAGGTGACTACTGGCATGTACACACCTCAGCCAACGCCCTCCGTGAGGGGTTTTGGAGCTAGAGCAGGTCTCTGAAAATCCCAGCCATAATTTAAATAACTACATTGCTTTGGCTAGCCCAAGACTTTCTTTCTTAGCAGGCAGAGCAGAAGGTGCATGGGCATTGCCAGCTTTGACAACCTCCTTGTATCAGCTGAGTGTTTCAAGTAGTCATAAGACATGGTCATGCTATCTCTCAAAATACAGTGTCTCTTGAAATGTGGGAATAGTATAACTGATGTGCATAAATGGCTGTAAAATCCTTGATAAAACAGTATCCACCACATTGGCACTGCACTGCGGTGCCTGTGAAACCTGGTGGCTGATTGCAGAAGGACCAAAAAGACCCTGAGGTCTGCTAATATTGCAGCTTTGATAAGCTTGCAATGCAGGAAAGCTGAACTAAGTGGAGAATTCTTGCACGTGAACATTTACCGTGTCTTAGCTGGGATTTGGGAACTTTTTACACTGTGGGAACCTTCTTGTGTGTGCCTGAGCCCATGAACTGCTAAAAGTAGTCTGGAGGTCTAACAACCATTAGTTCTCCAAATGCTGCAGGTTTAGATCTCACAGCAGAACGGAACCAAACTGAGGTCAGACTGAGTCCGTACCAAATTTGTGTGGGTCCCATCAGAGCACTAAATGCAGGGCACGGGGTTTAGTCAGCTAACAGGACAGTCAGCACAGAGCACTCACAATACCCAGCCAGTGAGCGTGGTGCAGCAACACCTCCCAGCATTTACTGCCTGCTCCAGCTTCCAGAGAGCAAGTGGTGCCCTGCCCCTAACGTGTTTTCAGTAAAGAGAGGGGAAAATAAATAAATATATAGCTCTGTAAGAGAAAAAATAAAATGCAACCCCTTCAACAGGCAAGATGCAATTCTCCCCATAGCTGAGTTGCTGAGCATACAGGGTGTTAAGTCGAAAAACCCCAAAGTATCGTGGTGCTCTGCATTAAATGGGGAGCTGCTGTGCCTCCGTTTTTGTTGTTGCTACTGTTCCTGTGTATAGTACTTTCAAGTACTCAAAAAAAATCATTTTTTTTTTCTTTTCTGTCTTTGCTTCTCTTATTCTCATTCTCTCTTTCCTTTCATGCACCCCCAAATCCCAAATCATCAGACAAATGCCAGCAAGTTCTGAGACTGACTTAAAGCACACAGTTATTTGCTGTAGGGACAAAGCTTCAGATGTTAAAGCTTTTATTTTATTTATATAATTTAATCCATAGGACCTAGGAAACTAGGAAATTTCTCCTGAAATTCTTCTGAATTAACTTGAATTCAGGAGGTGTGCATTTTAAGAACTGTGCCTCGTCCTGTGAAAGCAGTGCGAAGAGCGAGCATTTGGCAATTCTAATTATTGCCCAGTAATTTGAGGGGACCTGCATAAAGTGTGGACGTGCTAACACATCTGTGATGGCATGCAGCATGATACATGAGGAAAGGTGAAGGCAAGGCTCATATATCCCCATAACATCGAAAGCATATTCCCCTCCCTAATAACTTACACAGTCACCATTTGCTGTCTGCAAAATTAACCTCTTGTCTCCTCCAGCCTGCTTATTGGGTGCATAGATATAGGATTTAAAGCTTCTCTGTTGAAAAATGTCCCTGCAAAGCTGTCCATCAGAACTCCTGGTGCTTTCCGGAGAGTGTTATTAATAAAGTTCTCCATAGCAGAAATGGGAACCTTTTAGAGCTCAGATAAGGTTTTTTTTTTTTTTTTTTTCCTGTTTACCAGCTGGGTTGTTTGGCTGTAGACAAATGCAGTGATGAATGACGGGTCAAGGATGGAGCAGGCTGATTTCTCTCCAAGCTTGACCTTGTCTCTGGTCCGACATCTGAAATGACAGGTGCATTAAAAAGTTATTTATTTAGGGGAGCTGCGGTGCGTTGTACCCTTTGCAAGGTAGCACCTGGTTTTGTAAGGGTGTTCAAATAAAGGCTGCTAGAGCCATCCCCTGTGTCTGTTGCCTCATGTACTGCTTACCTTCTCCAAGCTGCTGCTCTGAGAGCAGGCAGAGAAGAGCTGTGCATTTGTCAGGGCACGGGAGATGCTCTGTGAACTGAAAGGAAAAAAGGAGCAGGGCCTGAGCACGCCAGCAGGCTGCTCCCGAGCGAATCGCCTGTGTTATCTGCAAATTGCCTGGCTGTGGAACAGCAGTAACCAGCTCTGGAAATGTACCTGAAGGTTTATGGGCTGTTGAAGGCCCAATGTTGTGGATAAAATGCAGCACTGAGGATTAAATGACTTCTGCTGTTCAGCTTCTTATGGCCTCAGTGCACTTGTGTGACTCTTTTTTGACACCTGGATTCTTTGTGGGTAGTTGCTCCATGGTTCACTTCAGTCTTCACTGTTGCTGAAACTAAAGAAACGCTTCTGCTTTTTTCCTTCTTACTGCAGGACACATGGGTGGAAGTGTAGCCACGCTGCATCCCATGAGCAGTCACTTCATTTTGGGGAGGACAATTATTGCTGAATGGCGAGAGACCTCAGCCTAAATCTGCAGAAAAATGTATGCGTAACCCATAGTGCTTCTGCTTTTGTCTGTCTGATGTTGCTGCAAGTATGTAAGCTGCTTTTATTTTGAAGTCAAGAACTTTATGTAGAAAAACAACCTGGCTTATACACACCTGGTGGTGCTTGGCCAAGTGGGGATGCAACGTCCTCCTGATAAGAGCTATGGCATGGATTTAACTGCAGACCAAAGTTCATGGAAGAGACCATGTGCTCTGATTTCTCCATCCTTCTGGAGAACTGGTAGGACTTAGATTAAGTAGGGCTTAGGAGCTGCCACTGGGCCACATCCTTAACCTGCTGACCTCAACACAATTACAGCAGTCAGCACCAGCTCTGAATATACCCATTCCTTTTTTTTTTTTTTTTTTTTTGCCATATTTCCACCTCCTCCAAAATACGCTCTGAAACAATTGCAGTAGAGATTGTAAAATGCATGCAATAGTGTGTTTTGCATGGTGGAACTGTTGGAAGCGCTGGATGTTGGTACGGATCCCACAGACACTAACTTCAGTGTTGGGCTGCATCCAGATTTGAGTGACTTTGCAAGCCCTTTCTATGACTGTCCAATTAAAACCAATTTGTGCAGTAAATGTGTAGTGTCTTTACAGTATTTTATATCTCTGTTTCATATCAGGATTCTAGTGGTGTGGTCTAGTACATGGACGAAGCTTGCCTCAAGGCAGCATCTGCAGGGTTTTTTTTCTGGTAGAAGAATGAATGATCTGTGGTGTAATGAATGATTTTGTATAATACCGAAGAAAAAGAGTATCAGCTGTGCACTTCATATACAGTATTGATTGCAAGTACACTTGTTAATTTGTGTAATACAGGAAATTCCAGCCAAGGTTAGGAAGGCTTTGCTCTGTAGTGTAGCTGTGACTCCTATTGCCTTCAAAGAGGTTTCGATTGGGTTGCAAAGAGCCAAAATTCATACTTGAATTATCCAGCTATGGAAGCATGTTGTCACAGGCTCTTCTTCTTCTGGTGTAATAATAAGGGAAATTGGAGATGTCCTGTTCCTGTTTTGCTTCTGCTTAAAGGTTTGATCTTTACTATTTGGGTAGTTTTGGGGGAACAAAGTATGCGCGAAGGACCCGGGCTATATTCTCCTTGTAGAACAACAAAGAGAGGAGCTGGGCCGGGGGATGGGAGGGAGAAGGTATGTTTTCCACCATGGCCTGTTTAAAACATTACGAGCTACCTCTCTTCCATCATGAGTCGTGGTTTAAAACTACTGCCCTGGGGCATAAAAATCAACTCCTAACAACTTCCAGTGGGACCACTATTCCATCAATGCTCCCATCAAATGTTGACTCCATGATTAATATTCACCCGCTTTCTTCGTTAATCATCAGTCTTCATTCATTTTTTCGTAACTTCCCGCTGACAGGGGTAGTGTTCGTAGAGCAGCTGGTAGGGGAAACAGAAAGAGCTGAACTGCTGTACACAAGCTGCGAAGGGAAAAAGCCACCTCAGTGCACTGTGTCAGCTCAAAATGATTCCTAAGGATGCATTTTTTTCCCTACAAATCCTACAACCAGTGGGGATGGATTTTCAATACCCTTTGTGAGATGGAACCTCCATACGATCAGTGGTTACTATTGTGTTGCTTTACCTTGAGTGTCATAGCACCCCGTAATTTAGAGCAGGAACTCCAGTGACAAAGAATGAACTGTCAGAATTTGGCTCATCACATAAAATCTGCACACGATGCTAAAATAGACATTTTTGCAATTAATACTTGCATTGTAATTTGTGAATTGCAAGCCCACTCCAGGCTTTGCCACAGCCTTCTTGAATGACCTTGCATGTGAGACTAAATCTCTTCTTCATTGTCCAACCTGTGAGCTGAGAATAGTTGCTGCTTTTTCTCTTGTCCTGTCTCTCTGGGCAGTTGAAGTCACCCATTCTGCTTCACAGGGACTCTGACTGTTGTGAAAGGTACTGTATAAGGATGAGCGTTCGATGAGTACTGGGGTAGATACACGCTCTGAAATAGGTGATGCATGTTGATCTATTTTCTAGAAAGCGTTATGGCCACTTCTGCAATCCCTTTCAATGCTGGTGACTTCCTACAGAGGTCTGCAGGCTGCATTCCCCGGGCTTAGAGTTTATCCCTTGAGATGCTTTGTAATGTGCTTCAATTTGCTTGATAGAAATGCTGAATAAACTGCCTTACCATTGTGACCTTGGCAATATAAGCAATAAAGAAGCATCAAAAAGAGAAATAGTTGAGAGTAAAATCTGGAGCTTGGTTTGCTCAGACACATCAGAAATTCTGTATGAATCAACACTGAGGACAATGAATTGGACAGCAGAGTCAAAATTCACAGGCCAGCCATGCTGGTGAGAGGAAGATCCGCGTGTTATCCGTGAGTGCACAGGCTCAAGAGCTGTGCTGGAGGACTGAGCCCAGCTGGAGCTGGTTTCCCCATTCCTTCAGGCAAGCAGGGGTAGTTCTTGGTTTGAGTAATGCTCAACATCCTCACTGAAAAAAATCTGGCTGTGTAGCTGCAGTATGTGTTGACTGGCAATGAAAGTGAATGTCTATGAACTTCCAATTATGGCAGCATCTAATGCAACCTTTTTTTTGGGGTGGGGAAAAAAAAAGAAAAGAATGGCTATTGTATCCTTGGCTTTGCAGAACAATAGTGCCTTGCACACAGAGCTTGTATTTGTCTGCCTCTTTTCTGCTGTTGTGGGTTTTTTTAATTTTAATTTTTATTTTAGGATGCATCTTTATTATTAAAGATAAGAATTATGGAAAATAAGAACTTGCTCGTTGTAAACTGCATCTTTTGCAATACAGATAAAGAAATAATAGAATGTGGTAGAGAGCTGGTGTCATCTGAGAAGGCATGCTAGATTCAGGAAGGGTCAAAACAGCAAGATGACAAACTTGCAGTGTAGGGCTGAAAAAGAGTCCACAGTAGCATTTGCTGCTTTGGTCAAAATGACACAAACTTTGCTGCAGAAAGAATTTAAGAATGCAGATCCGAAGTAATTTTGACTTTGACATTTTACAGTATTTTAAATCAGAAAACTGAAGTTGCAAGAAAATGTTTGCATTATTATGCTATATCTCCATTTTTTTTCCTACTCCTAGAGAGAATTCTGCAAAACAGCAAAGGCCACCACTGCAAGTATCTAAAAGAATTCTCTATCTTCCCAGTATTTTCCCCTAAGCTGAAATAACATTCTGTAGGCATTACTTAATTTTTCTCTCCCATTTTGTTCTTTCACAAATATCTTCCCAAAACTTCCTCTACATTTTGAAATCCCATTTGGCATTAAGTGAAATGGAGCAGTAAAATAAATAGATGAATAAATAAATAAAATTGAAATATTTAGATATCATTCTGGATGAGGGGAAAGAGGGCAGGAGCCAGGACAGTAGTCACTCACTGCATTTGTTGAAGAGAGAGAAAAGGTATGAACCATATTCAGCGTTCACAAAAATTATTTAAAATTGATGCGAGTAAATTTTATATTATTAACTGTGAGCATTGAAAACTCAGTTTGGATGTTTGGTTTTTGTGTGTGTGTGAAAATAAAGGTTTTCCATCTTTTATATTTTTTTATTCCTGCTTTTTAACTAATTCTAGCTTAAATGTCATTATCAGAAGGTCTTCCTCTGAAAGCCTTTGCTTTCCTGACAGCTTAGTGTCTTAATATTTCCTGTTTTCAGATCAAAACCAGACAATTTATCTGATATCAGAGAGAGACTAGTCTTTTACTCTTTTTTATTTTATTTACTGATTCAGGAGACAGAGTGAAAGGATATAGTGTTGCTGTAATCTCATCCACAGCCTGATTACACACCAGCAAGGTATCTAATTCATAGACTCTTTTTTTTTTTTTTTTTTTTTTTCCTGAACTAGTGTGAAAAACTGCAGGAGCCTGCTAGGAATGTGCAAGTAAGTATTTTCATTTTTTACACGAACTTGGACCTGTATTTTGAAGGTGTTTTCAAAAATGTAGATTACTAAAGGGGTGGAGACTCCTGTTCTGGTCAGCATCCCTCTCCCATTTATGCAGGAGATAAGCAAGGTTCACCCCATTGTTTTAAGGGGAGAAAAATCACCAGGCAATTTGTACAATACAGCACCAGTATCCTCACTACTAACTGAGTGTTGGTTTTTGCTCTTTAAGCATGGTTTTGGATTAGAACAATCTTCTCTTCTCTGCACTCCAGTATTTGAAAGCTGCCCAGGACATTACCTTCCTAAATCCGTATCTGTCTTCAGCTGGGGAATTGGGCCCAGTTCTAGCATGTATGATTCTAATGAATCCTTCTTTCTTTCCTTTTTACTTTGTCATCCTTGCCTCAGTTTCCCTAAGCAGAAAACCATTAGGGCTCCATCTCTGCTGTGCAAAGTAACTGAAGCTTAAAGGAGAAAAGATTTGAATGTGTTGATGCACCCTCACTTGAACGATGCTGTGCCTTTTGTCCCACAGGAATAATGTAGTGTCATTTTAAATGGCTTAATCTCTTTCGTCTTTCAGTGATGTTTACTATGGCTTTGCATTCTGCAAACAATTGGAATAGCAGTACATCGATAACAACTTACTTGTAGGAGAGGTCCTTATCCCTTTAGTTACTACAATAGTAGATCACATTTAATATTATTTTGGGGTAAGAAATAATAGTGGGAGCCTAGAGGAAAGTTTTCTTTGATTGTATTCTCCATTACTCCAAAGAGGAAAGTTTTCTTTGATTGTATTCTCCATTACTCCAAAGATTGCATTGCAGGAACATTAATAGCCTGAGTAGGAAAGGTCTCCAAAGTACAGTTTACCAGCTCGCTCAATACCAGGCTACAGCAGCCACTGCTAAAATAAAACAAACCTCGGCCATTATTAGCCATGCAATGGGAAGCGCTGCCGTTAGCTGAAGGGGCCAGTTAAGCTCTGTTATACCCAAGTGGCTGGGCCTTAGAGACTGCCAGTTGCTGGGCCTATTCCTTGATCCTTTCTGGGAAGGGAACCATACTGAGCTGAAAGTGCAGCACTGGAGCAAATCTGCTGCCATGCAACAGTTGGGTGGGCCAAACCAAATTATTTAGGGCTTCTGACCTCTCAACTGTGCAGTGCGGGTATGTGGGCAAATTTATTTTAAATCTGCTTTAATGAGAGATTTGGTGGAGAACAATAATCTTTTCAATGCATGGGCTTAAATACCAAGTGAAAAGAAATGCGCACAGAACAGCAAGGTTAGGGCACTGAACGGGACCTCAGAGTCTCGTTGCACCCT